CGTGGCAACTCAGATTCGAGAAGCTCCAGAAGCAAAGAAGCAGATTGTGTGTGAGGGCAAACTTTCTTGAGAATAGGGTTTAATACTATTTGGAACAATCTTCCCGATTCAGTGGTGTCAGCTCCAAACGTGGACACATTTAAGAGACGTCTGGATGAATACTTGAAAGATCTCCCAACTATTTACAACTCCACCTGCCAAAACTGATTTGTCTAGCCTGCACGTCATGCATTATTGTCGTTCATTACCAGATAGTTGAACAGGCTCTACTGAGAGCCTCAAACAACTTAATCGTCAATGTCAATGGTAGGCCAACTCTGCAACTCTTTCAATTAAGCTTTTTTTTTTGTTTCTAATTTTGTTTTTAAAAATTTGGAAGTGTTTTACGATGCTCGCAACTGCCTAAGGTCACATATGAGCACGCGGGACACATTAAACATTTTCAGTTGGTAGGAAATTTTGAATTTTGCTCGGGTGGCGGCCAAAGCCTACTCTTATTGATTTTAGACCACCAGGGATCTTTAACGTGCACGACTTGCACACTGGATCCCTCCAAGGTTTTTCACCCTTGTCTGAGAAGGCTAGGTGTTGATCTTTCCTATCAGAAGATCAGGGGTGTGGCTGAAAGACAGCAGTAAGGAGCCAAGGATGAGCAGCAGTAGAAAGGCTGCAGAAGTGGTCAGAACCCAGAGGAGGGTGCAAAAGGAGGTGAGAGGGTGGGGATAGAAAGTGGAGACGAAAGCAGACGACAGAACATTGCTAGTGAGCAGGAAAGGAGGTGAAAGGAGACAATTTTAGAGAAGAAAATTCTTTGGTTGCTACCCCGATTCAAACCCGAGACCTTTTGAATGAGAGGCAAACACCTTAACCTCCAGTCCACGTGCGCCCCTTTTGTTTCTCAGAGTTCCTTTGACTCCATCAATCCATCTTAGGAGGCCCCTCAGGAGAGTGGTCCTGGCGTAACTCCATAGAAATTTATACACAAAATCAGAAACAAAAACGGAAGTCGAGTAAAAAACTGACTGAGCTGCCAGGGTGAAAAGGCCACCGGTAAATTTATAGAAAAGGTCCCAACCCATTTTAGACTAGATCTATTTTTCAGCACTATTTTAACATCTTTTAGTGTGCTGATGACTTTTTGTGAATTTAGCAGGGGGGAGCACCACCCCCCCTCCCACCCCCAACCCCTTTTGCAGGGTGGGCGCACCCCCCCCCCCCCCTTTATCTTTTTGCAGTAATACTTCTAAATTCACAGTGAGAGCTTGGGAATAGGGGTATATTATTTTCTGTTCATGTATTACTATTAATAATATTGCTTTGATACAAAGAGGTAAATTTTATATTCTTTTCCCCCACAGTGAAAGTTGGAGAAAAAGTCAAGACATGTTTTAGATAACTATTTTTGTTAAAGAAATTTGTCTAGTTACGTCAAAATGTCTCATGAGTTCAGCGACGAAACTTTGGATCCAGTTGACTTCAAGTCGAGTTGGAAAAAGGAGAGGTAATTTTTTCTGCTTTGATCATTCTTCATAATCAGTGTTTGTGCCATTAATTAACGTAAACCTTTAACTCACATGAGCCTGAGTTATTTTTCATCCAACAACCATTGCAGCCTGACACTTTTGGAGTATTATATTGAAGCGTTAACCATAAACAGACTGTGAAAGCTATCGTAATTTTTTTAATGCAACAAGAGAAAAAAAGAAATGCTCTCAAAGAAAAAGAAAACTGCATAAACTAATTTGTCCAAATAGTTTTTATTTTATCAACAATTTGAAATGGCAATTTTTTTGTGCCCAATTTATAATAAAATCATTTATTGCAGTGCAGGGGTGACTGACTTACTCCATTACAGCTAAAAAGTATTGCACGCCACTTCCCGTAGCTTGTAACTGAAAAACACAGGAGATAAATCGATTAAAACGCATCCTATAAATACACAGGATTAAGCCGCGGTACGTCTAGTAAATAAATGGGAATAGGCTCAAATGTGTTAAAGCCCCTTGCTATGCTGTGGAAGAATATGCATATTCAAGTTCTTCCATCATTCTTATAATTGTTATAGAAAGGTAGGTCATTATTAATTTGTTACTTATGACAGTGGAGTCCACCGATAACGAGTCCTGAACTAACGAGAAATCTGTTGTAAAGCCGCTTTACCAACAGACACTCATACAATATGTATTCCCCTTTTTTTTGTCTCAGTTTATCATTACTCGAATGTGTGTTGTTTTATGTTGTTTGGTTGTGTTGTTTTTAGCATCACGTTACTAACTACTAACTCCAACTTTTCTCCACCTATCTCTCAATGAAATCCAAAAAAATTATATAAATAGAAATGTGGTTCAATGTAGAATGTACATTCAGAAATTCATGAGGAAATATTCATAAATAAAAAAGTTATGGGAGGTAGAGTGGGGTCACCCTGAGCCGCCTTGGTTCTTGGGATTTCCCTTGGCGCAGGGGCCTATTTTCCTGCGGCATTGAAGGGGTTAATAAGAATAATAAATGGGATAAATTGAAATGAGTAACAACTTTATTTTCTAAAGACTGTCACTAATGTGATGTAAGATATTCTATTGGTACCTTCAGTGTATCTGTCGCATACCTTTAAGCATGGCGCAAGGTTTTGTGTTTTAAATCCACCATCTGCAAACAGGAATCTAAGTCTTGTAGAAGTTTTTGTTATTTACTTTCCCAGGTCAGTCAATGAAGAGGGATGCCAAACAAAAGACATCCATACAGAGAGCGTTGAGATCCAGTCTTATGAAGTTTTTGATCAGGAAGTAAGTGGCTTATATAAGTTGTCTTATCACACTCATCTCAAAGATACATTAAAGGGAATTGTATAGTTATCAACATTTATCAAATTATTTCGCAAATGAAATAGTTTTTGGAGAATTTTGTTTCTTTGAGCTGAAATAAAGTGCATCAATTCATCTAGACAATAGATTGAGTCATGACGGTTATTTGCTGAGAAGAAGCGAGATGCTAAGCAGAAATATCCATCTTTGCCATTGACTTTCATTAATAGAATTTGTGAAGAAATAATAATTGATACCTTGTTTCTGTATTACTGGTAGAAAATGTATCATTACAGAGCTGTATAGGTCATGATGCATCCATGATCAGACTTTCCTAGTCACATATATGTGTGTATCAAAAGTGAGACATTGTTGGCGACAAGACATCAGCTGTGACAGAGATAAAGGAGAGGAACAGCTGATATACCATCAGTACTTGTTATGCAATGACAGCCATAAAAATGGTTTTGCCGGAACAGCAAGAGCAACAGCACTTGTGTTATTACTATTTTTTGTTCCATTCTTGTTCCATATTATCAGGTACAAACGGATTTAGATGGCGATAAAGGATATTATCAGCTGTCAGAATCAGAAAATCAGGACCTGGCAGACTTCCTCCATTCTGTTGAGCCAATGGTTATGAAGTGTTTGGCAAACAACTTGAAGAGCCATGCTTTTGATGGTGAGTGTTAGGATATTGCCAATAACTTATTAAAGCGTTTATGAGTATTATCCTTTACATGTCAACCAAACCTATCGCCTTTTGTTAGTGTAACTACTTGTTTTTTTCTATATTTTCTCTGAAATAACAAATTTTTAAAAGTTATTTTTAGGGTAAGTGATGTTCATGTATCTCAAAGTTGAAATGGTCAGAAATTCTGAAAGCTTTACTTATTAATCAAAGGTATTGTTATGGTAGTGACATGGTATTATTGTTTGTGATTGATATTTTATCAAACGGATCTTTGATCAGAACTCTGGTCTATTTTTTTCCCTTTAAGTTTTTAATTTATTTAATGTATTTCTAATTATCTGTTTTTTAATTGCCACTCTTTTGATAAAGCATTTTTCTTATCTTGTAGCCCCTGGACAAAGTGTAACGGCAGTGTGTACATTTTTTTTTGTACAGGAGTCGTTAATCAGCAAGATGCTGCAACTGATGCAGTGACTTGTGTGCATACCTTGTGTAATGCAGAACTGAAGGAAGAGGTAAAGAGAGATATGTTTTGACGTGTTAGGTTTGCAGCATCACTGTCATGGTCTATTTTTTTGCCCACTTACATCACTGTTTAGTAGGAAGTCTCTAAAGAAAACAAAAATGTGGAGATATTACAGAAACTATATTGGATTACAAAGTGCTTGATGTAGAAGAAAACATTCCATACAAATGATAAGTTTCAGTCTTTTAAAAAAATGTCTTCCTCTCAATGCCAATCTACTGATGAATCAATGCATTGTTCCCATGGTTTGGCTGTTTTATATGTCAAGCATAACATTGTACTGAAATAAAAAGAGAGATTTATTTTCATTAGATGCAAATACAGTACGTACTGCATAAGAGACTCAAAACTTTTTTTATCAAGGAAATAAGGAGTCTGTTATGGACCATTGTTTATTATTATTGTCACAGAGAAATACTTGTGAACATAAAATATGCTTTTGAATGCAGTAATTGGAGAAATGCTGTGTGTAAGTCTGTCCCCGTCGTTTTATGCAAGGAAAATTCTGAAATTATGCAAACTGAGTCCAAAAATGGGAAATTATGCGATTCTGGGGGGGTTTTTTAACAAAGAATGATAAAGGAAAATAATCAGAAATTATGTACACAAAAAATAAAATTTTACTAAATTATGCGGGGTGCATAAAACCACGGGGACAGGTGAGAATTGAACATGGTACTGTCTATATTAATGTGTTCAGAATTGTTCCATAGAGTATCTTGCACACCCAGTAGAAAATTAAATTTAAAGGCATGCGCAGAAATTTTGGAAAATATGAAGAACTCTTAGAATCTTACTCTCTTTTTTTCTATAACTTGTGTCATTTATCACACCTACTCATATACTTACTTCTTTGCCATAATTTCTTCCAGCTACAAATCACTGGTTTGTCTTGGAATGCCACAGGGTCAACTCTTGCAGCGACGTATCCTTTGCCTCATTTTAAATATATTGATTTGAATTAAGTATCAAAGTTCAAAATATTGGGATTTTCACCTGCCGTGTCTCTTATAAATTACATTCACAGACCTTTATTTAGGTGCATGAAATGTTGGACATATAACTTTAGTGCTTTACTGTTCCTTATAATTTTAGTGAAATCTCCAAGAGTTACTATTACTAGTTTTGCATGTAATTTGAATATATATCTTTTTTCAATTTTCTTGATTCCTATTAAGCTCTCACAAAACGGGTCAGTCACTATAGCATGACTGGGTGCAAACCTAATGCTCAAGTGAAAGTTGTGGGAGTTTAGTTCAATGAGTTTTTCTTAATATTTTAATGAATGTACTGGTTTTCGTGACTAAATAATGTTTCGTGCTCAGAATGTACATAAAACAACTGCGTAAATTTAGAATAAAACTTTTTTTAAATGTTACCACATTCTGTAACAATTTTCACATCATAAATCAGCCAAGCAAGGAGAAGCAAGTTTTGAAAAACAGTCCAATAAAAAATTAAGAGTAAGAGATATGACATTCAAAATAAGACCAAAAACTCAGGGTAGCCAAACTTTAAACATCTGCAATGAAATGTCAGGAGGGGGTCTTTTTCCCTTCTTAGTTTTGATTTATTCCATAAATGGAAATTGATCCATAAGAGACACATTTTTAATCCTTTAAATTTGACTTTTCTAAATTTTGGGTCATAATCAGTTTTAAACAGTCATGATTCTGGATCATTTTACCAGGTCTGATTTATACTATCTGCTTCCCTTTGGCTGATTATGTTTTGTAAAAGCTTGGTACACATTGTAACTAGATGAAGCTTTATTCCAGCGTTGCATAGTTGTGCTGGGGTTTGGGGGTTATTTTTGTTGTTGTTGTTGTTTTTTTTATCTTTTTTTTTGCATCCTTACTGTTATTGACTATCTTTTAATTCGATCTGATAGCCTGTTCTGACATTATTAAGTAAAAGACATATTGTTTATACTAAGCCTTAACCGAATACCTAGATACGGCAGGTTTGATCATGAGGATTGGTGTACGCACCGCTCTACTCTGTGTACATGGAATCTGGATCGCCGTGCAGTGAAGGAAGACAAACCTGACACAGTCATCGACTCCCCTTGTTGCCTCATGTGTTTAGAGTTTCATCCTGTCAATCCTGCATGGCTAGTAGGAGGAAATTTCAATGGTACCGTATTAAAACTGTCCCCGTCGTTTTATGCAAGAAAAATTCTGAAATAATGCAAACTGAGCCCAAAAATGTGAAATTATGCAATTCTGTTCATTTTAAGAAAGAATGATAAAGGAAAATAATCCGAAATTATGCAAAAAAATGATCAAATTTTGCTAAATTATGCGGGGTGCGTAAAACCACGGAGACAGCTAAAAACTTTGTGAGTTTGTTTATTTAGGTTATCTTATGTATTTATTTTTTGTAGTCTTATCGTCTCTCTTTCCTCTCTCTATAGTGTCTTTTCCTTTTCTAACTTTCTTTTGCACACGCACACACACACACACACACACACACAAACACACACACACACACACACACACTTACATACACACACACTCACTTATATACACACACACACACACACACATATTTACATACACACGCACTTACATACACACCCACATGTAGACACACACACATACACACACACACACGTACACACACAAACATACTCTTTTGTACAGGAACATAACGCATGATTCTATAAATCAAGAATAGCAAGAAAAGTCTGTTTCATCCTGATAGTGGCACATGTAACTTACGTTTGATACATGTTTTAATAAACAATCTCACCTTGCCAGTTTTATCAAATGTGGCCACAGAACAGTTTTCTGGCATTATTCATGGTTCTGAATGTATTTTTAATAATTGCACTGTCATTAGTCAAATTTTTTTTTAATCTAGGTGTTTTACATCTTCATCGACACATTTTAAATCACTTTTAGATGCAGGCTTCCTTAGACTTCCTACTGTGCCTGTCAGGGTCAACCTGGGTTGAGACGGATACAACATCCCAGCAATAAGCATAAGACAGATAAAATTCTAGCACATTATCAGAACAATGCAGAGTACAAACGTGGAGATGGTGATCATTTCATGTCACATATTCTCAAATCTTTCAACAACAGGAGAAGTGATAGTGTGGGATCTGAGTCGAGAGGATGACTTGGTGGTTGCCACATCAGGCATTGGCAATGACGCCCATCGTGAGCCAGTGTCCAAAGTGCACTGGATCAAAAGTCAGTCCTCAAAACGGAGAGAGTATGATGTAAGTAATTTTGTAAGTTTCCATCTTTTTGTTGTCCATTTTTCAAAATAAATGGATTATATATGTGTTTACAAATTCTGTTATTAAGAAGGTTACAGTAAACAATGTCAAGTGAAAGCGATGACGCAGCTTTTAGATAAATTGTCGGTGAGATGGAACCAGCAGTGGTTCATTTGAAAAAATGTGATAACTTGCATTACGCAATATGTAATGTTACATGTGAATTATTAAACGTTTATGAATGACATACTGTTCTTACCCAAGTTTTCCCCTGGGAATAAGAAAGTTTTTCCTTTCTTTTATTACTGGTTTCTAAAGCCCCCCCCACCTTTCTTCCTTCTTTTGATTGAATTTACTAATAACTAATACTAATAACAAAAGTTTGAAGTCTGGACATCGATGGGTTTTTTAATTTTTCCAACCCTCTGGTAGAATTTTGTTGTTGAGCCCAGTGGCATGATGTTTGGGACATGGTGCTCCACTTTAAAATGTTTGTAAGTCGTGTCATGCAAGTGGAAATTCACTGTTAGTAAAGGTAAGTATCTGAAAGCTGCTCATCACTCCTAGGCCTCAGTCCACATCCACTGACTTCTCTTTTCATGTTGATGATTTTGTTTCATAATGCACTTTTTGCAGATTATAAGTGTAAGTGGAGATGGAAAAGTTCTTGTGTGGAAAGTTGATTTGAAGAAAGGAAGACTCAAACTCTCTTACGGGTAAATACATTTTTTGTTGATTTCTCTATTTATGCTCTAGGCCTACATTCTTTTCAAATATTTTGTGTTCAGGTGTGAACTTAAATGTTGCTATCACTTCAAAAGAATGCTTGTCTTTGTTTGATCGTGCTTGACAGGGTGAGAAAAAAAAATGGGGTTACTCATTAATTTGTCTGTCAATAGTAGTGTACGCTTTTTATTAGATGCAAGAATCGTAGATTTCAATTTATTTGATAAGAAAATTGGTTGGTGCTGTAATGTAGTCTTATCCATTTGTTACTTTTAATGTTATTATTGTGTCACCTTTGTAATACCAACTCATCATAAAGCACAGCAAACACTCTGAAGTCATTAAATGAATGTTTACTCTTCTTTGAAAAAGTCATGGATGAATAGCTATTCCTCTTTGACAAAGTCATGGAACAAATGTTTACTCATCTTTTACAGTCGTGGAATGAGTGTGTACTCTTCTTTGATAGCTTTTCCTGCTGTTATTTCACTGCGAGTTCCACATACTGGTCTCACACTTTGCAAACGAAAGTATCAAAATAAAGATAGTTTTATTAATATACTTGTGACCTTGTGTACAAAGCGGAAAATGAAAGTGAACATCCTATAGCTATAAATGTATGTGATGATTTGAATATGGATGAATTTCGTTCTTATGAAAGGTTAGTTTTTGTCCTTTCACTCCACAATTCATTTCCTTTAAGAGTGATTGTTAATCCTGTATTTCAGTTTTGTCGTGATGTCTCAGAGTTTACCAAGGTCCATGAAAGTGAGGGGAGTCAGAGGGGACAAAGAGGTCGGTGTCACGAGTATTTCTTTCAGCTTTGATGATCCTGACCTGTTTGTCTTGGGCTCGGAAAGTGGGTGCATTTTCAAGTGCAACCTTCATGCCAGTGGGAACCCTGCAGGCAGTAAGTTCTGTTGGGTTTTTTTCCACGCTATATGAAATTTTTCCGAATTGCGTTTTGGTTCACAAGAACAGTCAGCCGATATGTTCCTGAGAATGTCTACTCTTTGTCAATTATGTTGAACTTCATTTTTCAGCACTTGGTATTTCTAAAAAACAATCATAACACAAAATAGACCTACTCATGATATTTTCTGAACAACATGCACTTCTTCAAAGTGAGTTAATTAAAAACACCTATGTGAAATAAAATGTTTCTGTGTTTACCTGTGTATGTATGAGGAGGGAGGTACAGTGGAACTTGGATTCAACGAAGTCGTCGGGCCTGGCCTATAGTTTCGTTGAATCTGAGTGCTCATTATGGCAAATTTAAGGTTTTTGTGTAGATAATTTCAGGCACCGAGCAAGTAATGTATAATGTATTCGACTTTCTCAATCAAAAGTAGTTTGGTCTCAAATAAGAGGCCTTTTCGTTGCTTTGATACCAAAGAATAGTTGGAAAATTCCAGGAAAATACACTGAACTCTACAAAGCACACACTGTGCAAAAGTGCTGATTTGTTCATATGCATCATCTATCATCTATAACTAATTGTTTGCCAAACAATTTATGTTGCTGTGTAGAGCCTAGCATATGACCACGTTTAATTCCACAGTCCAGTGCGCAATTCATTATGTAGATCTATGTCTAGACTAGCTTATCATTGTAATATTGACCTGTAGCCGGGGAAAAAAATAACTGTGTCACGTTTGTATCTCTACTGATGTTCCATGCCGGGACCGTTCGTACCCCCTCTCCCCATCCCCCCAGACACACCCACACACACACACATTCGCACGTCACATGTGTGCTGGCCGCCCATCCGATCACGACACACACTAAGACATGGGTGTGTGAAAACAACGCGTGTATTAGTATGAAAGGAGGCTGCTGATTGGTCGTACAGAGCAGTTCACCTTACAAGCGACTTCGTTGAATCCAAGCTTGCTCATTTATCTCTTCAATAAATCTCTGAGTTTTTTAAATTGATTTTTATGAATTAAAAAATCGGGGAATCCAACTCCCTTTGTTGAATCCAAGTTTTAGTTGAATCCGAGTTCATTGAAACCGAGTTCCACTGTATTTGTCTGCCGTTGATTGATTCATAGATTTGAAAAACACTTTTTATTTAATCTATTTCTATTTGTAATCGTTCTTTTCCATCCTTTTCAGGTCATATAGTTTCATCTGTTCCGCTCAGTTCTCCTGTAACTTTCACCTACAACCCCCACCACGGCCCAGTTCACTCTGTGGATTGCTCCAACTTTCACCGCAATGCATTTCTGAGTGCCGGTATGGACCAGTGTCTTCGGATTTACAACATGCTGCAGGTATGTGGACTGGGAAAAGAGGACTTGTTTTTTTATAGAGTGATAGAGAGAGGGAAAAGGTTTTTTTAATTCAAATGAGACTTGATAGACATGCTGCCTCTACCACTCATGACATCACATTCATATAATTGGGAGCCAGGGACATAAGTAAAATGTAGTACAGCGGGGTCCACTTAAAACGAATACTGTTAATCTGAAAACAGCAGTATGCCAAAATAAAATAAAATCCTTTGGTTTTTTTACTATTTGAGCAACTGAAAACCCAGCTAAACTGAAAAAAATCCAGGGGCCTCACTGATTTTACTTTGAGCAGACTCCGCTGCATTTAGATTTTTTTTTTCTGCACTTCAAAGTAATGCCTTTTGTGACACCATTGACAGATCTCGTGTCACTGGCCTGCGAAGAGTGACTCTTTACCTCATGCATTTCTTAATACTTTGTAGTGTGGATGGGGGGAGGGGGTCCTTTCTCGCTTTGGATGGTTCAAACAGGATTCTGCATTTTGTCATTTCACTTCATTTATTTAATTTTAGTGAAATATTAGTTGAACTGGCAAGATCATTTCTGTTTGCTCACTGTTTGCCTTCCTACATGACTGATGTAACAAAGGTTACAGAAACTGTGCTTTAGAGTATCTTTTTAAGATTTTAAGTCACAGTTCTTTTCAAAGATTGGTGTAGTTGTAGTGGTGTCATTGTTCACAGAGAGGTGCAGTTTTAATTCCAAAATAAAACTGTGAGATGAAATTGCTGCTAAATGACTGAAGTTTGAGGTGTCTAGTGTTTCCTTGCCTTCATTTTCATATAAGCCTCTTGCAATGAATGCAACATATAAGTCCTTGGGTAACCTACTGTCATTTACACTGGTTTGTTAGCAAAGCAAAGTAACATGTTTCTTTGTCCTGTGGTTGTTATGCAACAGGGAATTCCTCTGTGACATATGATTCTCCTCAGACCCAGCCTGTCCTGACCATTGAACCAGACGATGGCTATCTCTTCTCTGCCAAGTGGTCTCCAGTGCGTCCGGCTGTTTTAGGCGCAGTCACTGAGAGAGGAAATTTGCTGCTGTACGATCTGAGGGGTGGTCAAATGATTCCTTCACACAAGCTCGAAGCCAGCCCTAATAAAGCTCCTGTCTACAGTTTACAGTTCAATCATCACCAGTAAGGCACTTCTTAAACATCTCCCATCTTTTTGACAATGTATTTGGAATAATCAGAGGTCAGATATTTCCACTTCTCATCCTTAACGGGAGGAGCTACCCTTGAGGACCATTTTCTATGTCTGTTGCCCAAGATCAAATCTAAGTACATATATAATATAAGTTAGGCATAGTAAAATCTCTTGATACCCCATTTTATTTTGGCATAGCAACAGCGGTTACTAGGGAAGCGGCCGCCATCTTGAAAATAAACAATGAATTTCAAATCCCTAAGGTTTTCTGACCAAATTTGACCAAATGTGATGAGAGTATACCTGAACCAGACCCTATCAGAGTAACAGCAAGCTTATTTCAATAAGTGCAACAAAAAAAAAAATATGAGAATTTTTCAAAAATATAAAAAACTTTTTAAAAATTTAGACTGCGTAATCGCTTGCCAATGGAAAAGTGTTATTGTTTTCACAAATATCTCTCTGTTACATTAATGGCAGCCTTGCCAACTATGTTTCCTGAAAGTTTCATCTCAAAATGGTGAAAACTAAGGAAGGAGTAGGGAAAAAACGGCAAAAAAATTACATTTTGCGAAAACTGACTATTATTGTGAAAATTCACTATATTAACCCATCGTCATGTTTTCAAAGGCAATTTACGTGGAGAATAAACACTTTCTCGAATGTATCCATGCTATTTTTGGACAAAAAACAGGTTGATCTTCAAAAGTCAGCCAACAGAAAATGTGCATAGCCTGACCCAAAATCTGCAAAATCAAGGGTCGCTCCTCCCCTTAAATGACTTCACAGTACACACAAGATATAACAAGCTATCCATTAATTTACTATACACAAGTGTAGACAGTTTCACGACAATTTCAAAATAAATATAAACGTAGAGTAAAAATTTCACAATGGCAAGATGCAACTTTAAAATGCTTTCCAATGATGCTAAGTTTATCTTTCTACAAAAATTTTTTTTTAAGTTAATGACTTTTTCTGACCTAAATAAGCATACACAAGTGCAGCAAGTGTGAGCTGTTTTCAGTCTAACTGTATGGTTACTTTACGGACAACCTATATACAGTGGAACCTGCCCTGACGGCCACCTCTATAAGACGACCACCTGTACAAATGGCCACATTCCATTTCCCCCCTCGCGTTTTTTCTATATAATTTAACTGTAAAACGGGCACCTGTCCAACGCGGCTGCGGCCACCCTTTTTTAACACACAACCCCTATCACACCAAGCAATAACACCTAACCTGTCTTAGACGGCCACCTTAGTGACTCCATTACCGGTACGTTTTGTCATAAATCATGCATTGGCCCCTGGCGTTGTGGGCGAGCCGTCATAATCCAATCACCTGTTGTTGTTGTTAGGTAGTCCCTCCAACCGATCATGTTGCGTAGGCCCCTCCCATTGTTGGCCAATAGGTACCAATTTTCTGCTGCTGGGGAGGTAAGCGTGAGATCCCTCATAACCCATAAGCCCCGCCCAGAACTCATACACAAATTGTAAGTGAGATGAGTGGTCACTGTTTATCCAGTCTGTAACAAAGTAACAATGGACGTCAGCATGAACTTGTGACAGAAGCGTTGCTCATTCTCCGAGTGGTGGCGACCCATGAGTTTGTTTTAACATGGCATTCGGTCTTCCTCGTCTACATTTCGTTTTATTGTCACCCTTGTGCAAAATCAGCAACAAAATAAAAATAACAAACAAAATTCAAACCAGCAACAACAAAAACAATAACAACAATGCGGCTACTTTCGATTGGGACCTCAGATGGGAATGGTTTGTTTTCCTCATCTTGATCAGTCCTGCCTATGACGGCCACCTGTCTTATATGGCCACTTTTCTCCTTGACAATGGGTGGCCGTCTTACACAGGTTTGACTGTACTATTTTCATGCGCCCCCCCCCCCCCCCACCCCCGCTCTCTCTTTCTCCCTCCCTCCTTATCCCTCTTTATTCCTCCTTCCCTCTCTCTGACTCTCTCTTTTCCTCTTTCCCTCCTTCCCTTTCTTGAGACTTGAAGAAGTTTTTCAGAAATTGATGATTTGATGTCAAATCACAAATACCGTTCTATTTTCTCTTTCAGGAAGAAGATTTTAGCGACTGGAGATGGCCAGGGCTACATCCGAGTGTTCAAACTGGGATCATCTCTTACCTCCATGTCTGGGAAAGACTTGGAAGTTCTAGAGGGAATGGTCAGCACTGGGACGGAATAAACCATGCGAAGAAAGACAACGTGACAGAGCAGCAATTTGTTATGAGTGCTCATGACTTGAATGTAGCGAAAAAAAGAATCTCTCCTTAGGAATGAACACTTAGAACTTGGTTATCTTACACTAACACAGGTATAATCAATCTCTCTGTAATGTAAAGTGGCAAGGCAATTTTTTTGTTCTGTTATCGAGTAAAAGATAATTTTGGCAAAAAGTTGCCGTTTTGAGAATATTAATGCATAGATTCAATACTTGTGTAAAATAATAAATTATATTATGCTTTGGGGGGATTTGTAGGGTAAGTGGGGAGAGATGTTGCCGATCACTTTTTTTTATCTTCTTCAACTGTGATATGTCGCCTCTGAAGCGACTCCTGTGAAATTGATGTGGTAATTTTGTTGAGAATTATTTGACAAAGATCAATGAATTTGAATGTGTAATAATAGTGTTGTGATTTTACTATACTGTGGCGTTAGTGTCAAATGAGACTGGTACGGTACCGTATGCATTAAATAAATCTTGATTGTAGATAACACCAGCTGACCCATAGGTTTTCTCAAGTCATTTTCGTGTTTTTGTTTTTTTGTATTTTTGTCATTTTGGCTGCGTATATTCCACATTATGTATTTGTGCCCAAAATGAACATTTAAAAGTACAGCACAAAAGGAAAGATGAAGAGGGGAAAGATGTCGATAGGACTTTGTGAGATAGTAATTTAAGAGCTGGCACCACAGTGACTTAATGTGTTTCTCTTACACCCCAACATGCAAACTATGCTCCAGTCAATTCAGCATGGATGGTGATGAGCAACCTCTTACGTGATTCATAAGAACTATGGCACCAACTTAAGTCTTTGGAAATAGAGGGTCATGTAAAGCATAGAATAACTTGTTGAACCTTTCAAAATGGAAAAGTCTTCTGCAGTAAAAATTTACATTACCGTACCAGGCAACATATCTATGTGCATGGCAGTAGAAAAATTCTTCGGAAATTGCTGAGTGACTTTTTGAGATGTAAATACAGGGCAGTGTTGACAAGGAAGGGCACCAAAAAAACCCAGCTCATTCAGACTAAGAGAAGCTAGTGGTCTCTCAATCAGTAATGAGACATTAGTTCTACAGAGATGCCATAATAAACTTTTGAAAGATTTGATTTCAAAAAGGTACTGAAAAAGACCTTTACAATATTTACAATGGCTTTTTCGTTTTAAAACTTATCAAATTACAATACCAACTTCTGATTTATATAGCAAAATACTCAGGTGCTACAGTACAGTCCATGCCGGCTTTAAGCACGGTCATCGGGAGAAAGCTTAAGCGTGCTTAAAGCCGAAGCGTGCTTAAGTGCGAAGTAGACATGATCCAGAAATTTTCATGTAGAAAATTCCGCGTGCTATTTCCCTTTGTTTGTAAGTAGGCCTATAGCGGTCCCGCAAAAGTGTGCACTGTTATTTAGACACCCACCATGGTAGTTTTTGTTCGCTTGTTTGTTTTTGTTTTGTTGTCGAATGGGAAATGAAAACTTAATTTAGACGGCCAGTCACGATACAGCACACTAGACCTACTGTAACACACTGCCTGTGCGTACCACTGCCCGCTGTGCCACTCATACCACCGCCTTCATCCCACCTCGCGCGTGATACACAATCAGGATTAATGGATAGCGAGGGTCAAACGTAAAATCTCAGCCCTTTCTCGTCTCCCCGACTCTCTTTGTATTTTTTTTTTATTGGTCATGTTTAGCTTTGCCCTAGGCCTAGGCTAGACCCTATGTCCGCGCGCACGGCTGTGTGCATCTCTCTGCCTTCCTCTCCGCCCGTGTGAGTGTGTGTGTCCATCACTTGCGTTCTTTGTGTTTCTCTTGACACACTCCACTGCTGCGGTGTAAACTGTGTTCGAACTTCGATGGGTCATCATGAAAATATTGACTGTCTTGTAAATGAAGCGTGCTTGAAGCCGAAGTTACCGTGCTTATAGGCGTGTAATTTATATAGAAAAAATTCGGTAAGAGCCGTTTAGCGTGCTTGAGGCCGAAACGTGCTTAAGGCCGGCGTGCTTATAGCCGGCATGGACTGTATTAAAGTCAATGAAACAAACAGAAACTTGGAAAGGATTTCCTTTTCTTCTTCTAAAGTAGATGTTTTTACGCCCCCCCATCAACACAATTTAGATCATTTATGAAGCGAGCTTCCGACCTAGCTTGTCAGAGCCAACCCAGGCTGAGTAGACAGCATCCCAACAGAAAGACCAAGATACTCAATAAAAATTTCCTCCCCAGTCAAGAATTGAAATCGGGTCTCCTGCATGCCATAGCAAAACACCCAACTGCTACACCACCGACGCCGGAAATTGGAAAGGAATTTGAGAAAGTGATAGAACAAACCATGAAAAAGAATCAATGAGAATGATATTTCCATCGTAATACATGTAAAGTTTTAAGTACCGCTAAAGTAAAAACACTGTATTTTTCACTTCATTTTTTAAATGTAGTTTATTCAGACATTCATGAAAAGTAAAAGACATAACAACGAGAAAACAAAATTTAGACCAAAACTGGCAGACAAACAAAACAATGGGTACACACAAGTTACTAGTGTCTATGACCAGTTGATTTGAGACAAACAGGTGACTAAAGGGTTGGCAGACAAAGATATACTAAAATCAATTTTATTGCAGCAGTTGGAAAGGTAAACCAAATAAATTATTTTTTGAGGAACTAATTCTTTCAGAGGTTCAGAGATTAGTGCACACAACAGACAATAATGAACACAGCCTCGCTATTTCCAGTCTGTTCTTGTTGAGGGAAACTTCACATCCATAATACCATACAACTAGTTATCTACCTTATATTACGAGGAGCCAAAAAGGAGAAGACTAACTTGAAAAAGAGACAGCTGTAGTGTCCTGTAGATTATCACCCTGAATACAGTATTACATGTTACTCTTGTGTAATCAAGGTTAAATAACACACACTTTCAAAATTCTAAGCGTCCTGCACAGTGTGGTGTTAAACTTTTCAAAGTGAGGCCACTCATCAAAAGTCTCAAAGGAAAGTTCAAAGCTACTGTTGCGGAAGAGACAGGCCTACTTGCCGCAGACAAGCAAATTGTCCCATTCAAAGGCAAGTTGAAGACTTACAACCCCAAGAAGCCTAACAAATGGGGCTATAAAATCTATGTTCTGGCAAGTGCTCAAGGCCTGATCCTCTACAAGGAATTCTCCACTGGACAAATTGACCCCATGGAAGGCCAGCCAGACCTAAAAGCCTCAGGAAACATTGTGCTGCCACTGCTCCAGCCAATCCCTCATGGCCAGTGGCATAAACCGTTCACAGACAATTGGTTCACCTCACCCGCCCTCTTCACCACTCTTCACAGCCAACATACTGGTTGTGAGGGCATGGTTCGTGCCAATAGGCTGCTAGGATGTGCTCTACCATAAGACAAAAAACTGAAGAGCCAGCCAAGAGGGGGCATTTGAACTTATGACCACCACGCATGAAGGAGTCGACCTGTATGCTTTGAAGTGGCATGACAACAAATGTGTGTCCCTGCTGAGCACATGCTGTGCTGCTGCTCTAATGGACACAGCAAATCAGTGGGACACGGACATGCGGGCACAAGAAAAAGTGGCTGTTCCGCTTCCTCCCATGGTAACTACCTACAACAAATTTATGGGTGGTGTGGATGCTCTGGACGGTCTGCTGGCCCTGCACAGGATCCCTGTACAGTCAAAGAAATATTACCACCACATTATTTGGTACCTCTTAGACACAGCATTGGTTTAGGCCTGGCAGCTCTACAGGAGGGACATGGTTTTACTGGGTGTCAGCGCGAAGGACCAGCTTCCACTTCTGGTCTTCAAAAGAAGTGTGTCCAGGTGTCTGACCAAGGAGGGAAAACCAGTTGGAGGGGTGAAGTGTGGTCGCCCTTCCTTGACAATGGACATGCAGCTGGCTGCAAAAGCCAAGAGAGGGCCTATTGCTCCCATCCCAGACAAAGCAATCCGCTCTGATGGCATTGGTCATTTGCCAGTGTTTTCAGACAAAAAGGGACGGTGCAAGAGGCTAGGCTGACTGCAAGGGCACTCCAAATGTGCAGTGCCTCAAGTGTGCTGTTTATCCTTCTCAAGTACTTCAAAAAAGAGAAAGCACTGTGGTGGCCAAACAGTGTCCATCACAAAATTCTTACAAAAAATGTAACTGTAACCACTATTTTAGTGGTGTTAGGGAAGACTGTGATAGGACATTTAGTTTGTAAATGGTAGGGAAGACTTTATAGTGATAGGACACTTAGGCATGTGTTTATTTTATATAGTTGAAGTTGGTGAATTTCATCCTTCCTGTGAAGCATACATATCACACAACATCCCACCTCCTTATTTTAACTCTACTGCCATCAGGTTGGTAACATAAGAAGGCAGCACTGCGTAGCCCATCACTTGGCGCTCAGCTCTTGCCCTGATCACACGCGTTTTTGCGGTACTTGTGTTCTTCTGGAACGGATTACCTTTATCCTCGACAGACGGGTGATGTAGAAACTTTTATATACTACTTCTCTTATATTGTTCAATTCGTTTTTACAGATAATTTCAACTAACATTTTATACTACGCACTGAGTTTTTATTGGTGAAGAACTCGGGGAGGAAATTTTGGGCTGAAAATTGGATCCTTACCTTCATCTGCGCACATGAGTTTGTTTGATTTAGATTCATAATTGGTCTTGTCTGCTTTATAAGTGAAACTGTGTATTTGTCTTCTTGGCAATATTATTCTTAGCCTTTGGGGCAAAATCGGTTTCTGGCCTTCTGGGCTCAGTTGATGAGTTATTATTAGCCTTCAGTTCAAAATTGATCATAGCCTTCTGGGCAAAATCTTTTAAAATATTTCTCCTGAGCATTTCTGTTCATAACTTTCTACCTTCTTGGTAAAATTTTGTTCAGCCTTCTGGGCAATCAAATCCCGCATCTGTTCTGGATCCTTGGCAATCTTGATTTAAGCTCTCTTTCTAAGTTTCAGGTCCAAATTATGGACAAAGATCAGATATCCCTTCAAGAAAAAGGGGAGATAGATGGGACGGAAAACGTAAATGAAGAAATGACAACAGAGAGAGATGAGGTGAAAGATTTGATCAAACAAAATCGTAACATTATGACAAGTGTAATGCAGCTCATTGCATCACAAAATAGGAAAAGAAAATGCTCTGCTTCCTCCTCTTCGTCATCATCATCACCAATGTGCTGATCTTGACTGACAGTCAGTCCCTCTACAAGGGACTGCTAGGAAACAGCTCGGACATGAATGATTTGCGCCGCAAGTTCAGTGAAGCAACAGCCACAATAAAAATCCAGTGGATTCCAAGCCATGTTGAAATAGAAGGAAATGAGGCAGCAGACCAAGCTGCTAATGAAGCCAGAGAGATTGAAGGAGACAGACGACCAACAACATACAGAGGAGTCTTTCCAATAATCAAGAGGGAAATCAGAGACCCACCATGTAGAGCTAAGTACCAACACCTGGAAGATGTGTATTCTGGGTACTCCTATGCGCGGGAACAAAAATCTATCACATTTCGCTGGGACCGGGTTGAGCCAGTGAGACTACTGAGACTGCGGTCCGACCATCATTGGAGCTTAAGATGGTATAAGAACTTTGTAAATGAACAGCTCAGCCCATGTTGCCGAAGAGGCGGCCATGAAAAGGAGGATGTCAAACATATGTTTGAATGTCCAGGAACAATGGCAATTCGAATATAGTTATTTGGACGTTGGACGAGTGGAGGTGCCGCTAAGCATATTGACAATGGAGCCGAAAAAGATCCTCGCTCTCGCTCGAAGATTTCTTTGTGGAGTCCGCCAGGCCCATTAAGGAACTGATACCTACAACTTGGTCAGGAGGACCTTGGCTAAGACTGGTTGGGGGAAGAGAGCATTTTAGATGCTATCGCGGAAATGGCATCCAGCTATAAATCAGACCCCTCACAAGAAGGAGCGGCCCACACTGGGAAACATGATATCCGTGGGGAGACTGAGGTGTCGGATGAAAGGTACCCAGAAAAAGACTGGTACCAAGAGGCAACAGGGGAATAAGAAATTGATGAAGAGGTGGGCGAACCAATTGAGGAAAATTTGGTCGGATTCATTGAGAAGACAATGCCAGAGCCTATGAAAGATGAAAAACTGAAAGACAACATTCAAAGGTACAAAAGACCAAGAAACTCTCGCACTCACAGTCAGGCGGACAAACAAACCGATATGGAATCTTTTGAATAATTTTCAAAAGAAAAGAGATGTGAAACTAGTTTCTCAACAAAAGAACATCGCAAAAGCAGTAACAGCTATTGCTAAATCGGCTGAAATAGGAAAACAGATGGCCAAGTCCACAAATAATGAGAACAACATAAAAAATGCAAAACAAGCTGTCAAGGCCTTCACCGACGCAATGTCGATCCTGGGACATGCCCAGCAAAAGATTACATGACAGAGAAAAAAACCCCAAAAAAACGGCGATTCCAATTGAGTCGCAGGGTATCTGTGACATGGTTTCTGATGGCTACGACTTGCTGTTCGGAGAAGAGATGGAAAAGACGAAGAAAGAGGCGCGAGAACAAAAGAGACTGACGTCATCATTTCATGCAAGCCAGGGGAAAAGGCGAGGCCATTTTTTAGGCCGAGGGAACCACCGCGGGGCCCTGCTTTGGAGAGGTCAGAAGAGGAGGGGCCAAGCCAACTATGCTCTTCGCGGCCCGTACACAACGACCAATTGGAGTCAGTCAAAAAAGGCGTAGTAATGACACGAATAGACGGAAAGCAGGTAAGAGTTGAGGATGGAGAAGTGAAGCGATTGCTGGTACTTAAGACCAAAAGATTTAAAGCTGGACAAATAAAGCATTGTCTGTCCCAATGGCAGCGACTAACATCAGATAAAGCTGTTTTGGCTTTGGTACGAGGAACTGAAATAGACCTCACAGAACAGCAAGAAATTATGGGCAAAAATAAGTCCGATTCAAGTTTCTCTATGAGCAGGGAAGAAAAGATAATGGTAGACAGAGAAATAGAATCCCTCTTAGAAAAAAGGGTAATATTTAAATCAAATCATGAAGATGGTGAATTCATTTCTGGCATTTTTACAAGAGAAATCCGATGGTTCACATAGAGTGACACTAAATTTGAAAGAATTCAACAAAAATGTTGAATACATAACGTTCACAATGGAGACACTGAAGAGTGCATTAAACCTAGTATCTCAGTATTGTTGGCTTGCCAGTGTAGATCTGGTTTCAGCATATTATAGTGTTCCCGTTAGACAACAGGACAGGAAGTATTTAAAATTCTTATGGAAAGGCCAGCTGTACGAGTATACATGCTACGTACAGAAACGGATTAGCTCAGTGCCCGAGGTGTTTTACCAAGATCACACAAAAAATCTATGCACACCTTCATGGATTAGGTCATATAGCCACAGGATATTAGGATGTTTCACTGCTTATAGCGAAAGACCAAACTGCATGCTTTGAAAACATAACTGATACAATTTCAATAATCGATGAATGGGGTTTGTTGTCCACCCTGAAGAATCAGTCCTCTCACCCACTCAAGAGATTGTATATCTTGGCTTTGTAATAAATTCCAATGACCATGGCATTGACTGAAAAGAGGAAACAGGCAATTTTGAAAAATAGCGAAGAGATTTCCAGCAATCACATTCAACCAATCAGAAATGTACCCCGTTTAGTTGGCCTATTTGTAGCAAGCATTCCTGCTGTACCATATGGCCCTTTGTACTACAGAACTCATTTGGCATTGAAACGTAATGGCAATAATTGGAACAAATCCATGCCCCTCTCCTCAGAGGCATTGAAAGAAATTGATTGGTGGAAACATAATGTGACTTTTGCTTTTAATCCTATCACCAGGTATGATCTGCAGTCAGTCATAAAAACGGACGCTAGTTTAAAAGCATGGGGTGCTGTTTGCAATGAAGTTAGAACTGGGGGCTCCTGGTCAGTAGAAGAAGCAGGCTTACACATAAATGTCCTGGAAATGTTTGCAGCTTTTATGGGACTGAAATCATTTGCAAAAGAAAAGAGTAACATACATGTCAAAATAGTTACACACAGAACTGCCACTATGGGTTGTCTGAACAAAATGAGATAATCCAAATCCATGGAGCTCAACAGGCTGAGTAAAATAATATGGGATTGGTGCAGGCCGAGAGGCATTTGGCTGTCAGTAGCCAGAATAGTAGGTACGGACAATACTGAGGCTGATTATGTGAGCAGACATGTCAATCTAGATACGGAATGGAAACTCAATTCAGACCTCCTGATACATGCACTGAGTGTGTTGCAATACTTTCCTGAGATTGATCTTTTTGCACCAAGATTAAATCATCAGTTCAGACATTACATGTCATTCAAGCCTGACCCAGATGCACTGGGGATAGATGCTTTCACGAGAAACTGGAGTAATACAAAGTTTTATGCTTTCCCACCTTTTTGTTTGTTATCTAGAGTCCTTCAAAAAGTCATCCAGGATGAAGCAGTTGGAGTGATTGTGGCACCTTACTGGCCAGCTCAGCCATTCTTCCCCATGTTGATGAGACTTCTGGTCGACAGTCCAGTTCTTATCTCAGCAAGGAAAAACCTTCTACATCAACCCAGTCGTCCAGACACTCACCACCCACTTCACAACAAGCTAAGACTTCTTATGCAAAGTGTTGGGGAGAGACTCAGAACCCAAGGCTTTATTCTCCAAAAGCTACCGAAGTCAACATGGCCTCGTGGAGGCCAGATACCAAAAATGTTTACTCCACATATATTTCCAAATGGGAAAGGTACGCTGCTACAGTCAAAGTGGATCCAGTTTCACCACCTACAGCAGCAGCCATAAATTTTCTGGCAAAATTACATGAGAAACGGGCATCACAATCGGCAGTATGCATTGCTAGGTTAGCACTATCATGCGATTTAAATATTCCAGACTTCGGTAACCTTGACTGTGTCAAACGATTTATAAAAGGGGCTTTTGAATAAAAATCCATCATTGCCAATGAAAAGCATGACTGGCTCATGGGATCCGCATCAGGTCTTAACTTTTGTGGAGCCTTGGGATCCTCACGAGTCCCTCTCCTTGAAAGAATTCACTTTAAAACTCACCATGTTATTGGCCTTGTTATCGGGACAAAGAGCACAAACTATTCATAGTTTAGATATCAAGAGTATGGAAATAAGCAAGAACAAATAAATGTACATGCTATTTTCCAAAATTATTGAAACACTCAAGGAAAAGTCACCACCAAGAACCCTTGGAATTTTTAGCATTCAAAGATAATCCAAGCTTATGTATTGTCAGCATCCCGAAAGAATATCTGAAAAGAATACAGTCATTATGAACTCATATCAATGAGTCACGTTTGCTCATCAATCATCAGGCACCACACAAACCTGTCAGCAGAAACACTGTCAAAAGGTGGATAAAAACACTCATGGAAATGGCTGGTATTGATGTTACAACCTTTACTGCTCACAGCACAAGAGCTGCCAGTACATCTGGTGCATTGAAATCAGGAGTGCCAATACAGACCATACTGAGCGTGGCTGGCTGGTCGCAAGAAAGTACATTTGCTAAGTTCTATAAGAAAAATATAAGACAAAATTTTGGCCAAAGCCTTTTGGACTCTTATTTCGCCAAAACAGACAACATTTGACTGCATGTAGTACAGATGTACTGAGAATGTAAATAAACAGAAAAGATATTTAGCATGATTGAAAATGCTCTGTTTTTACTGTTACATTGAAAGTTGTTTATACCGTTACATTTTGTAATAGTATTTATCTCATATATGAGTGATGGTATCAAGCTATATTTTTTCAACAATCTTTGTTTTTACATTCTCATTCATGTATGTATACCAAATACAAGAAACTAAAGAGAATATACAATGATCTTCATATTGATCACAAACAAGAACGCTTTGGAGGTTGTTCAATGTATTAGTCACAGTTGTGGCTCCAAAATCTCATGTTACCAACGGAGGGCCTGACGGCAGTTGAGTTAACATTAAAGAAACAATCGAGACTTACCTGTAAGTTGATGATAGTTTCTGATTTTGACGATCTGTCGTCAGGAACGCAGTGGTAACATGCCCTCCCACTCCCTCCCAATAACATGAAATTTATATTTCTTCGTTCCTGATGTATGGTGTTTATGAGCTTGTTATTTTTTCATTAATTTCCCCTATGGTGCTCACAAGTATTTGGTTTCCCAAATGAATAATGTGATTGTCACAACTGTGACTATCTAAAGTGTGATGGGTTACGCCGTGCTGCCTTCTCACGTTAGGCAAAGAGAACCAAAATCTACAGTAAATTTCTTTCCGGCTTCAAGGGGGCGCAGCCCCCCTAACCCCCTGCTGCTGTCGCAGAATCTTAAAAAAAATTTTGGGGATTAGTCCCCATCTCTGACATACAAAAGAAGAAGAGGCAAAATGATGATATTAAGGATCAGGAAAGAAAAGGCAACAGTTCCCTGCTGCAATTCAGTCAGGCACAGTTATGAGCTTAACATTGATGAATCAGCCCATTTACTGTGCATAAAAACATTTTAATGTTCCCCCTATGGGAATGGCCTAAAGATACTTCAGTCAGTAGCACTACCCCAGGGGGTGACGTTCAGCCAGAATGCCAGCACAAAGACATCTTGAAAACAGACGAGGTTTTAAAAGAGCATCATGACCAGTTTACACAACACAAATGAAACATACATTTCATTGAGTACATACTATTCATAAACACAAAGAGGAATATAAGGGAAGACCTCAAACATCAAACATTGAAAACATAAAATCTGACAGTGGTCCACGACTTCATGAAATGATACATCAAGCCAGAGAATGGGGAAGATGGAGGCCTGTTGTGGCGAGGAGTGGGGCACCAACAGATACAGCCATGGTGACAGGTGATAAGAGAATTATCCATACATAAAAATAATTAAAACCATCCAAACATTCATTCTATAATACACAACACCAGCAATTGTTCACAAAACACACACACAATAACTCATACTCATACACATGCATTCTTTTACTCATTCCACTCTTTCATAAAAAATGCTGGCCACCTAGACCCTTCTCAAAGCTCTCATACAATCAACAGCAACAACAACTGCCACTCTACTGTGCCCCTGTCCCTTTTCTAGGAATACGAAAAACCTTTACAGTGAACTTTGCTAGAACAAAAAACTTGATAAAAGTGATTTTCAGAAAAACAGTGGAGTTCACTTTGGAGTTCACTTAATACCTATGGGACCGGCCTCACACTTCACCTTCAGTTCCTCAGGACCACAGCTGCTGCTTACTTTCTGACTAATGAAATCCCAGTTCTTTTTTTTTCTTCTATTTGAAAAGCCTCTCTAAACTGAAAACTCTATTAATTAAACCAAAGAAAATCCAGCAGTCCCGCAGATTTCAGTTTAAACAGACTCAATTTAACAGAGAAGCCTTTTTTGTTCTCCCCTGTCTATTCTTTTTAAAAAACAGGATACAGACAAGATGACTTTATGAACATATATATAAGTTAAAGTTCTTCTGTGTTTCATAGATATCATCTCAGGTAAAATGTACAGTACAGTGGACTGTATGTTTTGACTATGGCTCATGTTTCATACAGCATTTTTGTGATTAGGGGCTTTTTGACAATTATGATTTAAACTTTGTAGCAAACTAAAAATGTTGGTTAGTGCTGTTCATTATGAAAGGGCTGAACAATCTAAGCGTAGAACTTTGCTTGGATGGTAAAAAAAATCAGTATGAGGAAGACATTTCTTAGCACAATTTAGCATTTAACAGTACTCCTGAGAAATAAAATGACTGTTGAAACTGCAGATATCAAAAGGGGCTTCAAATTCATATTTTTACAGAATTAATGCTGTGCAACAGGAAAAAATGTATCACCATAAACTCATTTTCCAAGTACCAAATGTGCCTTTTCAACCACAAATTAATCTGTAACTTGTAGGCTTTAGGCTGGAAATTGTTCTGTATGTGCCAAAGGTCTTAGCAAGCAACTCTCCTGTCTTCATAGTCTCTGCGACTTTAATAAGTCTTTGGCAGAAATGATCATCCTTCAAAACCCAAGTTGGAGCTCCCACGGTATTCGCTGAAGTGATCATTCTTCAAAATCCAAAAGAGAGCTCCTATATTAACCACATCAAATCTTTCCTCTTTATCCAAATTTGCTTAATCCTTATCATAAAGACAGGAACTTGGAATTTTCAACAATCATAATTATCGGAGAATGTGAAACTATTAATTTATCCATCAAAGATATCCCCTGAATTGTTATCAAAAGATCCATAGGACAGAATAGTTTATGAGAACTTTCGACAGTCTTGAATTTTAATAAAACAATAAATCGCCATGAAAGACTTGATATGGGTAATGAAGAGTGAAATGATACTATGACCCACCTCCCGACACATTTCGAGTCTCACTGAGTAGTTTGAGGATCATGTCCATCTTTTCTCCCAGTTCGTTTTTCACACCGTCAATTTTCTCCTGCAGTTCCTGCTTCACCGACTGAATCTCACCGTGAAACTCGGTCTTGACCTCCTCAATTCTCTTGCTCATCTCCTCTCTTGCAAGTGCTTGCATACTTTCCACAGCACCATTCATGTCTTCGTCATGTGTAGGGATGTTGGAACTAGACATGTTACTTTCATCAGTTTGAGCCCTGCAAGAAAGGAAAATGAAAAATAGATATGAAAACATTTTCGTTCTTACTGGGCGATTGTATTCCACTTGAACAGATGATTGCAAACAATTCCAAATGCCAACAGCAACACAATTAAGAACATCCTCGAGACAGTCTGCTTCGACCCGGACTGTCAAGGCCAATCTGAGCTTTGTAGAAAACTGCATCTCTTTAGAGAGACAAGATGCTTGACATAAATGTCTTCCTTTGATAAGAATTGAATCTCGTGTCTTTTGTGAGCAAGTCGTAGAGCCAAGCCATTATGCCACAAAAACCAAGGAGTGAAATGTTTGAAGGCAACGTATAAGTTCGTCTCAATAGGCCATTGTAAGTCAATTCCTGATGAATAAATACTATCAAGGAAAAGAAGATTTGATTCAGAAAAAAAGAAAACTAGAGAAGCAAAAACTCTTACAAAGGAAAAGAACCATTTGTCCCTTCATATGAGAGAAAGAGGCACACACCAGAGGATCAGGCTGATGATAAGATAGAAGAAAAGTAAATACTACTAGCGGTAGCCTCTCCTCACTATATATAGATTATTATGTTAATTAGAAGCATTTCTTCAAAAGTATGCAAAGATAAAACATACAAAGTTTCAACAGAGTGTGATAACAACAATCTAAATGAACTTTCTTTATCCCACTTACAAATTTGATAAAACTAAAACTAGCAACATATATAATCAATATACAGATACATTTTCACTATAAGTGATGTTGACACACAGAAGAAATGCAACCTGTCGTACATTTTCTTTGTTTTTATACAATATGTATGCAATAAAGATGACGTCATTTCCTTTCAAATGTATTCTTAAGTATAGTGATTGAACACCTAGGAAACTAGGACTTATCAAAGATGGAAAGCCAAGTCCTTTTAAAAGCCAATTTCTTGCTGTTGACACACTATTGCTGTTCATTTCTTCACATGCTTCTTTAGCTAGGATAAAATATGTATATACTAGCTGGGTACCCCGTTCGATGAACAGACTCAAAAGAATCGATCATCAAGTCATTGTGGGATCAGTGCGCACTCCTTGTGAACGGAAGCCTCACTTGTTTACAATGTCGTCTTGGAAGACGAACTTTCCCTAGATTAGATCTAAACGAAACTAATGAAAAACTAAAACTTAAACTACAATGACTTCAGACTCCTTAATATAACTGTGCACCCTTTAAATGATTCTGAACCACCGTTAATTTGTTCAAATTTGAAAGTTTAGTGCTTCGGAAGTTTTAGGCGACCAAAATGACGAACTTTCACAAATATAACATATATATATATATATATATATATATAGAGAGAGAGAGAGAGAGAGAGAGAGAGAGAGAGAGAGAGAGAGAGAGAGAGAGAGAGAGAGAGAGAGAGAGAAAGAGAGAGAGAAAGAGAGAGAGAGAGAGAGAGAAAGAGAGAGAGAGAGAGAGATAGATAGATATCTATCTATATATATATATATATATAAATTACGGCTATGTACATAGGAGAAAATACTCTTATTTTTAGTAATTAATTTCCTTTGTCTCGAGAAGGTCTCACCACTTTGTCTCCACCCTCAATATACAGTCTTTCAGCATTTATGATTTGTTATAACCAAGCAGTCATACAAAAGGTTGGTGCTTCTGTTATAAATAAATCATTAATGGTTATGGTCAAACAAAAAGTGCTCACAGGGAGTACACAATAAACTCTTAACCCACACAGAATCACTTACTCATGTTTTTCTGCATCAGTGATCCTCATTTCTGTTACACGGCCACAGACTGCCTGCAGCATCTGGTACATTTGACTGTTTTCTTTGGTGGAGCCATTCTTCGAGTGGTCCGTTTGGTACATTTGAGAAAACAAACTGCCCAGGCCATTTTCTGTAGCTGCATCTTGCTTTCCATTCACCACTGGAAGCTTTGCAAACAACTGTAACAGTTTTTCTGGCATAGCGGAGCTTTCACCCATACAGCCCGATCCTAGTAGAGCTGACATCATTCCAGTCATGCCAGATTTATCTGCTGTTTGGAAGGCACTGACAGACTTGAGTTTATTCTGGAATATTAAAAAAAACAATAATGAAGAAACAAACTTGAAAAGAGTACAACCCAGAATTTTTCATGCTAAAATGTTGCTTTTGCAAAAGTACAAATTACAGAAATTCCTTCAATAGCAAACAGATGATCAACAATCAATGACAGACAATGAACATTTTCATTTCATAATTAGAGAAAACTTGAAAAGTTTGTTAACTGTGCTCCACACAAACAAACTACCGTACATGGTCACATACAGCACAAGTGCACTAAAGGTTAACTCACTCACTATCACACCCGCAACTGTTGCGGGTAAAGTAGCTCCGACGTAGTGATTTTGTTCTCCATCTCCCTTGAAATACCCTGAAACTCGTACAGCAAAATTTGTATATAACACAAAGATTTCCGCCTCCCACCAATATTGCTACGAGCTTGTCAGACTGTATATCAAACAAAATATAAAAGGATCACATGATACCAAAATAATAGATTGTAAAGCACATAGAGCCTGCTGTTGAGCAGGAATTTGTGCAATAAACACCCTATTTATTATTTATCATATTGTACCTGCTCGAACTGCTCCATAGTGGCCAAGAAGTCTTTCGCTCGGTCTGAGACACAATCACCCATTTCATCAACATCCCTCTTTAGTTTCTTAATGTTAACTGTTCCCTGTACTGGTGACAGATTCTCTAAGACTCCTTGAGCGATGTTGAAGATCAGTTTTTGGATGTGGAATGAGGTCTGACTGCCTAGGGACAAAAACTGTAAAACAAAAATATCATAAAGAACCACGACATGTAAAGTTGATTTCCAGGAACTGAAAACTTTTATGGCAAAGGGAAGGGATGTATGTGTAATGTCGCTGAGTAAAGTTGTAAAAATAAACTTTATATCTTTAATCGAGTAAAAGTAAAAGCAGTATAACACTGAAAATAAGTACGCTTTCACACTGCTCAGTTGTACTCATCAAAAAAATAAAAGTATACAGGGAAATAAGACTAAAGACACATCTTTTTCCCCATTAAAAAAGATCTCTGTATTTCAACTTAATATCTCTTTAATTAAAAAAGCACAGAATACACCATAGAATAAGTTAAGATTATTCAAACTTAATTCATTGCAACTTAACCTGATGACGGTTCCCTTCCCCTATTAAATATTGAAAAAGAAGGACTAAAAAAGTTACCCTATGACACCTGTTTCCAAACAAACAGGCTGAAATGGTTCTTAAGAGGGCAGTCAAAAATGAAATGATCAATGAGCAAAAAATCATTTAATCGCAATGCTAGAAAAAAAAGCAATTAGAAATAAAAACAGTAGAGACATACTTTCACGGTGAGGCTTGGGTAGGCTTCTTTGAGAAAACAGCGGCACACAAATATCCCTTTGTTCCTTATGCTCTCATGTTCTTCATCATGACCTGTATCCACTTTTTGTCCTCTCACTGTAGCTAGGTATCCATCTGTGTCACTTGAAATTTCTAGAGTCCTGGACTCACTAACAACTGTCAGTCCACTGATGAGATGTTGCTTCGGGTTGCGGGATTTCAATATCAGACGACATGGTTCTTTCTCAGGCGTCTGGTGAAGCTGCACACCACCATCACAACTCAGTTGATGACTGCAAAACAAAACATGGAATTTAGAGGTGTGCGAGTCCAGAATTTTAAGACTCGAGGCGAGTCTCTGCTGTGGACTCGAGTAATTACCCGAATCCTACTGCTCTTAAGACTCGAGTAATAGTATCCCGAAAGGGACTTTCAGTGGGCTACAAAAGAAAGTTTTGTTGAGTATCGGACAGAAAATACAGTGCCTTCCTAGGAGGGCGCTTGAGTAGGCTTATGGCAATTCTAGACAACTGCATGCTGTTTGTACCGTATTTTATTTTATTGTACCTTATCTTATCCTTTTTTTTTAAAATTATCTGTTGGAACACAGCCTGTAAACCTCAGACAATGCACTAGTTTAGTTTTAGTAAGAGTTTTATGGCACTTGCAACACAATAAGGTCATATAAGTGCCGAAGATTAGAGGTGTTACAAGAGAGTAACAAACACAAAAAAAGGAGAGATCAGGACAATAGATGTTTGATAGGAAAGAAGGAGCAAACCACACCAGAGCACCCGCCAACTACCCACGACAATGCACTTCATAAAATAAATGAAGTTTGCTTTGGTCATCATGGATTTTTAACAGTGGGTTTTTTGTGGGTTTTTTGTGGGTTTTTTGTTTGTTTTTTTGGGGGGGTGTTGTTCTGATTCTGTGCTCGGCTGTGTGATCTTGTTTCATATAATCCAGCAGCTGTACAATGTGCTCTACAACAATAACAACAACAAGGAAGATCGAGTTCTTTACTAAGGACTCCAGTCTGTACTCACACGTTTGGACTCGAGTCCTTACGCGAGTAATTTACTTGTAACTCGAGTCTGGACTCGCCGCGCGTATTACTCGAATGCTTGAGTCTGGACTCGTTACTCAAACAGTGAAACACCTCTAATATAAATAAATTTAAAATGTACTAATCTGTGAAAAATACTTTTAACTATGAAATTACTGGAGCAGAATGTAAATTAAAAAATAACAAAATAAATAAATAAATAAATAAATAAAAACAATAGACAATGACTGACAATGACATTCTTTATTCATCCCCTCTCATACCATGAAAATATGCCTTAGAACTACAATATTGCATCCATTCCCATTTGATGTATGCATATTCTGTAATTATAACATTTCATTGTTCTTCTGCTTTATCATTATCATGAATAAGCAGGCCTACCCATAAAATCATCCAAATGCATAAATCCACGGAAATCTACCTGAGTAATCTTCTTCTGCTTCTGCCAAAACCATTGTAAAAACTGGAAGAATGTAATAAGCAGTTATCTTGAAGTCCGATATCAGCACTTAATTCGCGTAAAACCAAAATTAAGCCCAATTATTTGTGACAGCAAATCGAAAGAAACCTTCACTGTCCAAGTCGACGAGTACAGTGTTTTCCCCGGTATCCAGGCCGATTAAAATAACTGTCCACTCAACGGCTATGCTTTAACGCAGCCATGACGTCACAGCGAGAAGACGGCAAGCTTACACGTACATCTCACGGCAAGCGTTTCCAGTGTTCGACAGTGTTTCACTTACTGGCTTTTGGGCCACGCGAAAAACAGGAACGACGTCAACGTTATTTTTTTTCAAAATGCAATTGTTTTACGGATAATTTCACAAAATAGTTTCTAATACTATGAAGTTCAGCCTGTCTGAGATGATGCAGGAGCATTCCGCGGATTAATCGACCACACAATTCTAAAAACAATACAATCTCCTCAAAGAAACCATCTTGTAACTTTCTTGTAGCTCGATTAAAACACGGAAATCCGCAGAGGCTAGATCCATCTTTCTTCTCATTGGTTGCCGAATTTGGGGACATTTGGTTAATATTTAGGATGGTTTCGTACCTTCCAAATAGGGAGAGTTGGAAAATCACAGTGCTATTCGTCGGGTTTCGGTCTCGCAACCGACCAATCCTTTTTCTTCGATAATATTTCCGCTGTCACAGAAGATATCGGAAAAAAAATTTCTACAGTGAATGCCTCAATTTCTCCCGTGTGTATTGATGTACAATACAGGGGGCTGACACAAAGAACAATGCTATAAAATTTCATGTTCCCGGGGTTACCTCTGGCTGGGGCAAGTCTACCGCGTTTTCAATTGCCGGCCTGGGGCGTGTGGCATAACTTGTGTTTTGTTTAATCATTGTAATAGAATTGCAAAAGTACAGAGGCCTTCATGTCTTCAACTACAGACTACTTACTACAAGGGTAGGACATTAAAAGGGAAGGACTTCCGTAACGAGCGACCACCCCATCAAACACAATAAATAAGAGGCCTAACCTTAACCCTAACCCAAACCCTACCCCTGGATCTACCCCTACCCCTCAATTCTGCTCTGTCTCATAGTGGTCGCTCGTTACGGAATTCCTCCCATTAAAAAAGTGTAATGTAGTGAAGTTATAATTATTTGGACTTCCGTAACGAGCGACCAACATTAAATCTAGATTATACTCAATGGCTTCCAAAATCATGGTGGGAGACCGAAAGCCACAGTTATACCATCTGTTCATGACAAAGTTACGGTAGTTTGCGCATTTTTAGGCCCAGTTTAAAGTTTTGAAGGTCTGAGTCGGGGATTAGTAGACTTGAATCAAGGCACAGCCATTGTTGACGAGGCAGACTTTATCTACTTCCATTGTTTAGGAGTGCAGAGTTGCCAGGTTTTCTTCGATTTTTAACCAAATTCTCACCGCGATTAATTCTAGCAAAATACATTGTATTTGTGTTATTATTAGGGAGGATTCCGCAACGAGCGACCAATATGAAACTGATAAAAATAGAGAATTGTAAGGGTTAGGTTTAGGGATAGGGGTAGAAGTATGGGTAGGGTTTGGGGTAGGGGTTGGGACAGGAGTATGGGTAGGAGTTGGGATAGAGGTGGGTATGGGTAAGGTCTGGCCCGGGGTAGGCCTAAGGGCTAGGTCTTTCCTTGTGTTTGATGAAGGATAGGGGTTGGGTTGGGATGGGGGTAGGGGGTAGGGTTAGAAGGTCTTTTCTTTATTGTGTTTTCTGGGGGAGTTAGGGTTTGGTGTAGGGGTAGGGGTAGGTTTCCTCTTTATTGTGTTTGTTTAGGGCTAGGGGTAGGTCGTTGGGGTTAGTGTTGGGGTCAGGGTGGAGGTAGGGTTAGGGGTAATAGTATGTATCTTTTTTGTTTTGTTTGTTGAGGGTTAGAGGTGGGGGTGGGATGGAGTAGGGTTAGGGTTAGGCCTCTTCTTTATTGAGGTTGTTTGTGAAGGGTTGGGGTTTGGTGTAGGGGTAGGGTTTGCGGTAGAGTTAGGGTTAGGATGGTTCAGGGGGGCTTGCCACTACTTATTTATGAGGAGGGGGGGCTTGCCTCTTTGATTAAGGTAAGTTTTAGGGTTAGGTGTTTTTTTTCCGTTTCTTCGTCCGTTCAAAATACGTTCGAAATGAAATCGTTATTTGTATAATTTTTCTATTCATCCCTTACCGCGACGCGGACCTACAAAAAGAACGAAATACAAGTAGACCGGTACGGAGAAAGCCACGCTTGTCCACGATGGCAACTCAAAAAAACGGAAGTCATTTTTTTATATGCAAATGAGGTAGAGTCGACTCAGAAATTTACTTTTTTTTTCCTTTCTTTCTTTTTAAAGTAGCTTTATAAGAACTTTTTTTTACTCGTTGGGTAACACAAGCTGTTTGGCATAGTGTTTATATATATCATGCTGCTGGACTAGTCTAATGCTAATCATGTTTGCTTCCCTCACTCACAGGTTCGAATCACGGTTACGCCACTGATTTTTCTAATCATGTCATATTATTGTGTATGCTTTCAGATGTTAACACATGTCACTAATAATACCCATTCCAGGTGAAGAGACAAAGGAAGGCAAGAGGAATACAAAGTAACACAAATTCAGTTTACTTTCTTTACTTTCTTTATTGCCCAACCAAACACTTAACCCTATCTTTTACATATCCCACTCAAAAGTCCCTTCTTTATTGCATAGGCTGGGGTGGTCGCTCCTTACAGAAGTTCTTCCATTATTTCAATAGAAGGATACACACAGCACAGTAGGGAGTAGGGAGTAGGAGTTGGCAATCAGTTGCAGCTGACTCTTCTGTCTTTTTGAGCCTCTTCTCTCTGTCAAAGCATTACCAATAAGATGAACAAATTCAGACCACAATAGTCTTAAAGCCTAAGTTCCAATACCTGAAGTTGACATGTGTCGTGTGTTGAGTAAGCCTACTATTAATAACTATTAAATAAATAAAATAATAACTTGGACGTCTTGGACTTGGCGGACTAACTAAATTACTAACCCTGTGTCCTACTGTGCCTGTGGCGTGGCCTACCAAAATAAGGGGTAGCGTAAGAGTAAAAATTTACCTGCTAAAAGGTGACTGTTCTTGAGAGTCATCATCCAAGGAAACATCAACAAAAGTAAAAGAGGTGATACTCGAAGGCGTTCCACAATTTACGCCCCATGTGAATGAGGCATCACAGTAACTAACCGACTCCATGTTTGCCTCTCTCAGGTTCTCAATTTCCTCCTCCATAAGCGAACTCTTGACTCGTCGTAGAATAATGTTATCGATCATGTGCTGTAACCAGAATTTACTTTCGTGCGGATAACGTTACAAGAACAGCGTTATTGTTTGCTCTTCGCGTTAAAAACAAACCAACTGTATGAATGGGATTTCGCTTTGAGATAAAGCATGGATAACATATTATTTTCAAAAGCAAAAATTGTCCTTGATTCTTAAACTTAGGCCTGAGATACCAAAAGTCGAAAGCTCGATCCCTATCAAACAGTTCGTCCTCTAGCCTTCTGTTCTTTGGTGTTACCTCTTATGTGACTTTCTAGTGATATCTCTTGTCTCCAGCAATTACATAAATGATCTTGCGTTGCAATTGCGGTAAAACTTTAAATAAAACTTTTTTTAAAGCTCAAACCAGTTATTTTAAAAAAAACACATTGCCACAGTGTATAATCATATGCGTAGGCCTACTCTGGTGTGCAACACATGATTTAATTAGATTGCAAGTTTCCCCGAGAAGCACCGATGCTATTTGCTTTTAGCACAGAATTCTCAAAACAAGTTCATTAGCTACCAATGAATGCCAAGGAAACATCGATTTATGACAGAGATCACATCTGGACCTGAAGGAGCGACACGCATCAGATTTTGACTCCGATATATTGAGTCTCTTTGGATCGTTCGGCCTAAATGCAGCGGACAATGTGGGATAAAATCACAACCTTATTCTCTGCGGTCGGGAGACGATCACATGTAAGAAATTCAAAGCACTACCTAATCGTGCATCTTTTATTTTATTGTATTACTTCTTTAGTTATATTTTAAATTTTCAACTTAGAAGAGGAAAGAGAAAGGGAGGGTGGGGAGCAAATGGGAGGGGGGTAGCTTAGATAAGAACTGAGAGGGCAGTAAGTATTGCAAACTATAGGTAGATCTAAACTAGACTCTCTATATAGGGCGAGGAAATCAGATAAGGTATCAGATGAGGAGAAGAATACTCTCAGAGAGCGGATGAAAAGAGGCCAAGCAGGAATGGTAGGAGCAGTATGTGACCGAGGTGTCATCAGAGAAGGCACTACAAAGGTTCTGGAAAATGCACAGAAAAATGAAGGGATTAAGGACTGACGCTGGCTCTCTGTCTGTTAAAGTTGAGAACGATAGGCTACTGGAGACAGATGAAGCAAAAGGCCGGGTTTTCCTTGAGAGGTACATCAAGCAGACTCACCAAGGCAACATGGAGGAGCGTGCTAACATCAGGGCAATTATGAAAACTGCTGTGCCAGAGGTGCTGTATGGAGAGGGTGTCACAATACAGGAAGTGAAGCGGGTACAATAAGCGGAACGAAGGATAGTGCAGCAGGGCCTGATGGGGTGAGATACAGCCATTTTAAGGATGCAGATGAAAATTATCTACAGGGCATGGTGGAGGACTTCAACGAGAGTCTGGTCAAAGGCAAGATCCCAGAGGAGTGGCTACACGGCTACCTCATGCCTCTTTCTAAACCAGGCAAATACCACTCCAACAGCAAGGGATACAGAATCATCACCATGCAGAACACGTACGGAAAGATCCTGGAAAAGATTGTGGCCAAAAGGCTGGCAAATTACTTAGAGCGGAAAAAGCTCCTTCCAGACGGCCTTGGAAAGTACAGACCAGGGAAAGACACCTGCACAAACACGGCTGTGTTAGCCTATGATGTATTTGAAGGGTTCCAGAGAAAGGAGGAAACAGCAATGGCTGCTATTGACCTAGAGTATGCATACAACTGAGTTGATTACGGCAAGCTCATGGATCTCCTGATGGAAATGGATGTTGACCCCTGGTTGATACAATGGATCTCCGAGGTTCTGTTTGAGAGGAAGGTGATGCTGAGAAGTGGGCGATAGATGTCAGACCCAGTAGTGATTGCCTCAGGACTGCCACAAGGATCAGCCTTATCACTGGTTCTGTTCAACATATATACATCCAAAATTGCCAGGATCGGTGTCAGTGGAGCAGTAAGAATCCTAACATTTGCAGATGATGTGATGGTCTACGGACAAGGTCGTGATAGGCTAGTGGTTGGACGGATGCTACAGGACAGGCTGAGCAAGGTCGCAGATTGGTGTGAGGAATACAATACGGTCATCAATCCAGACAAGGCACAGGTCATCTTGTGCTCATTCAACAACCGTATTGTGAAAGATCCTACTCCTCCAATTGTGTTTGACCACTTTCTCATAGACAGACAGCATGAGATGAAGTACCTGGGAATCACTCTGGACTGGACACTTTCTTTCCGAAGACATATTGACAATGATGCTGTCAGGGCTCAGAAGGGCATCAATGTAGTGAAGACCTTGGCTTCAGATGGAATTCAAAAGTGAGTTCTTTTTCTCTTAATGCAGCTGGTGGTTCTGTCAGTCATAAACTATGGTCTGGGCATCCTCTCCCTGTCCAAGACTCAGATAGACAGGTTGGGGAGTGTACAGAATGCAGCTATGAGGGCCGTTCTAGGTTGCACAAAGAACACCCATGTTGTCTGTATGAGATACATCCTTGACCTGGCCAGCATCAGAGTGAGGCATAAAGTGGCACAGGCAAAGCTGTACTCGAATATTTTGGGAGACCCGAGGCACCCTTTGCATGACAACCTAAGCAGCATCAAAGGAAACAGGATCAAACGGGGCAGCTCATGGATGGTAGAAGCCGAAGACTCCTTGGGGAAAGTTTGTGGCATCGATGAAATTTGCTGTGGAAAGGAATGGTTTGGGGAAAAAATGGTGAAATGGTATAGGCTTAACGCCCCTATCAACACTATTAGGTTATTTAAGAGGCGGGGCCTCCGAGTTTAACGTCCATCTCCGAAAGGACCGAGCCAAATGGGAAATTCGTGTATAGAGCCTTTCCCAAGGACACAGCGTCGGACCGAGCTGAGACTCGAACCCCCGAACCCGCAATCTCACGATTACCAGTCCGGTAGCCTAACCACTATAGGCTACCGACGCCACAGGAATGGTTTGAACTGAGCCCCGATTGCAGAAGCCTGGCCAACGTTCACATCACTATGGGTCGTGAAAGACGGGAATGTGCTGCTGTCATTAACGACATGACATAAAATAATATGACAGTTAATTGAGGAGCATTCCAAGCCAGAGGACCCAGTGATCTATACGGATGGATCGGTCAGGAGGGGTGAGAGAAGTGGATGGGGTTTTGTGGTGTATAGTGGGAACAAAAAGGTTCATAGCATGTCAGGGGCCATAGAAAGTGGAGATTGGGGCCATAACAAGAGCGCTTGGCTGGCTTCAAAATACAAGACCAAGAACTACCCATCTAATCATTGTCACAGACTCCCAGAGCATCTTACGAAGGGTTGAGAAAGGGGTTCTTCGGAGTGAACGGATGAACCCAATACAACACTCGTCACTTAGAGCCATCACGTGGATATTCTGTCCTGGGCACTCTGGAGTGAAAGGCAATGAGGAGGCTGAGAGGCTGGCCACCGGAACAATCAGTATGGATACCTTTTGGTGCTGGGGGGGGGGAACTGAGCACTTATAATATGGATCTGTCCAACGTTGTTGCCCAGGACAGGTAACACAGGTAAACTAGACTCTAGACTACTGCACTGAAGAGGAGGGATTTTAACTTGTGGCGATGTTTGAATGAAAAAGATGAGAGCGACAAAAGGTCAAAACAGAATCGACAATCACTGTTGTCACTACGGTTGTGTCGCATGCAGGCAGGGCTTTCGTCGTTATAAACATTCATTTGACTAAATACGGTAGCAGCAACAACTGACATTATGATTATAGGGCAGGCCCTATTCACCACATTATTGGCTATATAAGCGCCCATAGGCCATGCACGTGTACGTAGAATATAGATCTATGTCGAGAGACAAGAAAAAGTAAAAGAGGCTAAAAAGGGGGGAGACCGGGGGTTGCAGAGTCTGAGGTAGAAAGACAGTAGGAAGGGGAAAACGTGCGGATGGATCCGAAACCTTTGATTTGAGGAGAGGGGGTGGGGATATTGGGTGATACCTGTATGGCCTACGGTACCCAAGAGGGTTGCTGTAAGGTACTTGGGCCTACCTTATCTGCTTTATGCAGATAGACGACGATGACGTTGACCTAATGTTTTTGAGTATTTTTCATCTTCTCATGACCTCGGTTTCAGAAAACTGGCGCATGCCTGCGACAGTCAAGCGGGTACGTGTACACAACAACAGGAGTTTTGTCACAGTGTGCCTCTCGTGTGGACTTTTCATTCTGTTTTTCTGTACTTTGTAGTTGGCAAAAGCTCACACGATCCCTGTTTTCTGCCACTGTCACTGCCAATGCGTGACTCTTTGGTTAATCAGGCTTATCCAATCTGTGATTTTGTCAATCTTTTCCTCGTCCTGTCTTTCCTTGTCCCAAATTGTTCTTTGGGCTGTTGGATTGTCATGGCAAGTCTTTATGGTTTCATTTCAACGTTCCTTTGCAGCAGGAATTGCTGACTATTACTTGAGAAAGAAATATTACAATTATAATATAATAATAATTTCCAGGATGCTCAAAGAAACAAGCGAAATTGAAAAGATACTTCCAATGTAAACTTCCGGCGGTGCGATAGCAGCGAAGATTCACTTTGACTTTTCCCATCCACTTGCTTGTCTTACAAGGAGACAATGCTAGTTTTCTGAAGGCCATTACTTTCGAGACTTCAGTTACTGTTTCGCTCTTCATACTTCGGCCCACTTTATCGTTTTTATTTTACTGTACATGCCTAGTCTCCCCATACTAGTAAAGATTGGAAACCGTAGCTCAAAAACGATGGCCGCAACTGTGGCAAGGACAGTGCAGGTCAGAGACAGAGTTGTAGTTTGTACAGAAGTTTACTTGACAGTTTTATTCTTGGTGATCAGTGTTGTGTTTGCTTTTATAGCGATACAGTGTCTTACACTGCAACTCACACAGCATTTTTTAAAGTCAAAGATGAAATATTTTCTTTTAATTCCATATGAAATATTTATTTCATCATCATGAATGAGATAGCTATCTAAAATCTAGTCTAGATATAGATATAGATATAGATATAGATTCTAGATCTAGATTAGATCTAGATCTAGATCTAGATTCTAGAAGATCATTTGTCTTGCTATCACAATTATTATCACGGCCTCTGACTCTCACTCTTCTCTCCAGTCTTGTGACTGTATTTCCCTGATGAGTCTCAAATCAGCTGAGACTTGACAAGTGGAAGAGTGGAAAATTTGTCTTCCTATTTATTAGTTTATATGTAGCCCCAATGAACACGTTAGCCACTCTTGTTGTTATCTGTCTTTCTCTTGGCCTGTCTTTCGTAAATTCAGTCTGCTACAAAACTTCTTTTCGCATGGCAAGATGCACAATAAAACTAATCTAGTAAAACTCATTTTCCAGGTTATTAATTAAATGAGCTTTATTGTCAGGCTTTATTGGTTGCATTGTTTGTGATGTTTACAGCAGGTGGTGAGACCACACATCCCCTTGATCAAGTTTCCCACAAGAGGCCCACAAGCAGCAGGACAGGGAGCAGCTCAAAGTTTTGGTATGCACTGTTTCCATGCTGTATTGTCTCAACCTCAAAATTTATTAAAAGTTCCTTTTCATTAACTTTTTTCCATCTCACTGTACTTTTCAAAGTGTGGGTACAACTTACAAGTAATCTCCGCCTAAACGCATGCTCCACTCAAACGCACGCTTACGTCATATGACGGGTTTTTAACTAATATAATTTAGAATACAAACGCATGGTCACTTCTTCTAAACGCACTCTTCAGTCCGAGAAAACAAGCCTGGACGATTGGATATTTGGTAAGACTGCCCATGCAGAATAAAGGGAGGGATGGACAGCGTTTTCTTTTCACACACCCAATTTTCCACAGACACATAGGTCTAGGATATATATGTTGGGGGGGGGGGGGGGGGGGGGGGCTAAAATGATTTTTTATTGGTTACTCGAAATGCATCTTTGAGAGGTTTCTGACTGGTGTTTGAGTGACTGCATACATAATGTTAAGCTAGGCCTATGATGCGCAACATGTGTGAATGCTGTAGAACATTAGATAGGCCTCTACAGGATTAAAGATTGGTCAAGTAATCAGCTGCGCTGGAAGAACTTATAATGTACTTGTTCAACAAATCAGAGAAAAGTCTCTAGAATGTCTTGTTCTGATGTCAACCATGAATTTACAAAGTTGCAATAGATGACAGGCAGTCGGGAGTGGAAAGCTGTGTGGCTGAGTACTCGTCCAGGTCCTATGACTATCACCAACAGTTACCTTTTAATCTGTTCCAGACATTTTATAGTGCATGTTATCATGCTCCCCCCCCCCCACCCCACACCCTTTGACCAACCCATTCAACGCCTTTGTATTCATAATGGCAGTAGGGGAATCGTTCACGAAACACATTATCGACCAAAGTGATCCTGAGCCCCCAAGGGAGGTCACTAAAATATCAAGGCAATGAGATGGTTGCGTCCCTTCCTCCCTTTGCATGTAAAAATGCACACTCCGTATAAACACACGCTAAGGAGCCCTCCCGAGCACTGTACATTTAGGCGGAGACTACTGTAATATTTTCAGTATTTTACCATTTTCAAAGATATGTTGCTAGTTCCCATTTTGAACATTATGGAGACAAGCCCCATTGTAAGATGATCAAAAGCCTGATCGGGAGAAAAAATTTAAGAAATGATGACACTACATTTTTCTGAAAATGTACAAGGCCCATTTTCATGCGACTTTTAGATCATATAGCGCTTAGGGGGAAAAGGAAGACAATGAACAGAAATACCAGGAATAAGAAAAAAAAGTTGAACCTGACAACAAAACATTTGACCTCTGATCCAGAACAGATTGAAATTGAAAATGATATATGCTGAATACTCAAATGCCCATTTGATAAAAGAAGGGGATTATTTAACATTGCATCTGTACATTGTGTGCTATACTTGACTCAAGATGATGAATGAAAATGTTAACAAAACATTCAGAGCAAAATTTGATCGTGGACTTTAGTTCAAGCAATATTAGAAGAATGAGCAATGAAGTATCTAAGCAGCTGTTTCAGGGTTAGATTAGAATGCTTAAGATTTATAATGAAGTTCCATGTGGACATTTTTTAACAAGTTTTTAAATGAAAAGTTACTTTTCTCTAATGGAATGTCTAGGGAGTGCAACTGAATTTCTGCTTTTTTCCTGTCCTGATTTTTCTTTTCTCTGTTGTTTTGTTTCATTTATCCCAACTCTGGAGAGGAACACTGTTGTGCTATGCACTGAGCTTAGAGAAAATGTAGGCATATGTGTAAGTTCATATACATGTTAGTAATTTCACTGTGTTTATCTGGCAGGCAAGCCTGGAAACGTGGAAAGTTTGATATCGTCAACTATGGGAAGTACTGCTGCTGCCAGCAAACCGTCAGCTTCTGTGTCAAAAGGACCAGCTATTGAGTCATCGGAGCTTCCCCCCAGGTACAGGAGAAAACAACTCTCTCAGGAGGAAATAGAATTTATTGAGGTAAGTTAAAATTAACCTTACTTTTCCCAGTAAAAGATTGCTAACCTAACATGAAATGGCTGCATATTCTTCATCTGTCACTGAAAATTTTTAATTCTGTAAATTGTCCTTAAATTTCGTGTATTGTCTCGCAAGGTAACTTCTTTTAAAGGGTTTTTATAAAGTAGACAGTGTTGTTTTTTTAGTAAGAGCAAAGAAGTCTATGTCACATGTGTTCAGTGAAAAAGGTGATCACTATAAACCTAATTGTTTAATCCATTTCTAATTCTTATAAAGTCAATTCCAAAGATACACAAAGCAATTAATGACAGCAGAGAGCAGAAAGGATGACTTTCTCAGCTTGAAAAAGACCTTTACAATTTTCAACATATATCATCATAATTGCATTGTTTTCTCTACTGAACGTTTGAGAGGTCTGTAAAAATATTTTTTATAGGCATTAGTAAGAGGTCAGTTTTTCCCCTGATTTTATGTCTAGAGACTTTTGGGGATTAGATGGTATATAAATTCACAGTATTATTATATTATTAAATTTTTCAAAGGAACTAAGACCATTTTCTGTAAAAACATTGTTTTTCCTCCTGTTTTATATGAAATGGTCTCAAAGTGTCTCTCCTGTGTTGTAGCTTAGCCCATTCGTAACAAAGTTAGGAGGGGAAGACAAGGGAATAAGGTGGAAATTAATCATAGAGTTCAAGTTTGAGTTTTAGGACAGAAAAATAGTTACCGTCATTCTCTGTACTCTTAAACATATCATTCCTGTAGGCAGGTGGGTCATGAATAAGCAGATGCAGCAGCGACGCATTTTCAGTGCCAAATCACTTTTTTGGCTACTGTTCTGAAAATAGTGTAAGTGTAAGACGTAGTACCAAAATTGTTTCCCTCAATGAAGTAGAGGGTCACAGGTAAGTTACATTTTCTAAAACAGGAAATAGGAATTCTTGTTCTGTTATCATTATCAGGCAGCAGTGCATATATGGAAGAATTTATCTTTTACTTTACGCGATCTGTATAAATTTAACCCTATCCGTACGCCCTGGGGTCATTTTGTACCCCTGGGGTAAATTTCCACTTTTTAGAATACTGACTTCTAGTTCGAAGATTTTTTTGAAACTTTCAGTATTTCTAAAAAAATCATTTTGACACACTGCTATGCAAAGCGTACGGATCGGATTAACGAGTAATTTCCTCTTTGGAAAGTGATGGCACAGAGTTCCCTACATTGTATGGACACGATAGTGAAACATGACATATGGATAGGGTTAAATGCTAAAGAATGTGTCAGTGCCTTGGTGCAAATAATATCATTAAACATGATGAAGATTTAAAAAGATAAAATTGTGAGAACCAGTGGTGCTTGAGGAGGTCTGGTTAGCTTGGAGTTAGGGTACTGTACGCACCACAGCAACTTAAGCAAAAGTGTAGGCCTAACTTTTGAACTTGTGATTGGTGGTAGAATGAGTGGGCAAAGGCAAATGAATGGTCACTTGTTATTGCATTTTATATCAGATAGAAGTGTTTCAGACAGGTGAGTTAATTGGGGG